GTGTCTATCATTTATTTTAAATTTAGTTTGATGGCATAACACAAATTATTTCCTTTGTAGAAAAAGTATCGCTTTAAGTATCTCCGGCATATAATCTTTCAAAACATTTTTAAAAAATGAAGTGTAAAACAAACTTTCATTATGATACTATATAATAATAAATTCTATTTTGTTAAATAATTGTAATTAATAACCATTCATTGTGTCTTTTATGCAAAAAATATCCACAAATATTTTCGAATTACACAAATCTCTCACAGCAGCAAAAAGACCTCTCGCATGCTTCTTTTTAAAGAAGCAAACTTGTTAATATATCATGCAGTTTGTGCAGACTTACATTTTTGTTTTGCCTGTATTTCTAAAGAAAGTAGTTGTGAATGTGAAAGTATTAAAATTGTTACTGTAGCAAAATTTTGACTTTCATACAAATTACTAAATCATTAACACCGTTCTTAATTGGCAAAAATTAACAGAAGCAAACGTTAGTTCAGGTTAATGATAATGGAAATAAAAAACAAAAAAATAAAAAATTAAAAAATATAAATAAAAAGCGTTACAAAATAAAAGCATTTCTAGGGCTTTATGGGCCTTTATGAAAGGATTTTTGCGCGTTAGAAACAATTGTAGCTGCTTTTTTAAGAAACGCCAAAATTATGTTTAAAGTACAAGCTATCATGATAAAACCAATGATTTGTACATATAAATTACTTAAATGGCACCCAATGTAGTATGAAGTGTGGCGCACAGTTTTACCCATATTCCGAGGAATTCAGTACACACAAGATTTCAAACTAGTTCAGTTCCTTCTCGTAGTTTGAAATAAATATATATAATTAATCTTATAGATTTACTATTGCTAAAGTATTGAAATAATGAATTGATGTTTTGACATATTTTCGTAAAGTTATATTAAGCGCACTGCTTTTAAATTAAAACGCCCCACGCTGTTTTTGCTGTAATTTATATGAAATATTCACTTTAAAATGTAGCTTTTTTGTTGTTGTTTTAGTTATTGTTGCGTTTTTTTTACGGAAAGCGGATTAATTTTTCTCATAGATTAGCCTGGGTTCCGATCTGTCGATTTTTTATGTGCTTCTTGTCGGCAAATTGACATAATTGAGCCGCGTCATGAAAAAACCAACATAGTGGGTTTGCGACCAGCATGGCTCCTGACTAGCCTGCACCTCCGCGCAGTCAGATCAGGGTCCATGCTGTTCGCTTACAAACCATATAACAAGTAGAGAAATTGAGAGCGAACAGCATGGATCCTTATCAGACTTCGCGGATGCGCAGGCTGGTTTGGATCCATGCTGGTCGCAACACCAATTATGTTGGTTTTGTCATGACGCGCCTCATATATTGATCAAAACCAAAGATGTTGTGTTACCTATGACGATCGAGTATTAAATAGCGCGTAAGTTATGAATAAGCAAAAAATATATCAACGCATGAATCCCAGGCTACTTATAGATATATATACGTATATCTCATGTAGTTGTAGCATACTAAATAACTCCCCATCCGGAATTGCAAATAACGTAGTTACAGTTCGGATTCTAGATTTTTTTAAAGGTTTAAAATGCATAATTAATACACCATGCAAATTGTGCAGACTGTGCAGACTGAATTATTATATGTACACTGTATATTGCAGTTTACCATAAAATTTGATAATTTAAACATTAGTGCTTTTCATCCACGGTAACTTTTAGTTAATGTCGCCTTGTCTTGTTGATCTTTTTTATATTCTATTGACTATTTTTTTTCTCTTTTTAAAATTGTTTTTCCGGAGTCATGACAACGGTAACTTTCCTGTGTCCTTGATTTTATACCATATGGGTTTCTTCAAAGAAATATCTAAATTTATGTAAAATCTAGTTAGAATATTATGATTTTTCCAATATTAATGTGAAATAAAAAAGATGTGAGTTAATTTATTTTTTATTCTATTTTCCGAAGACATCTTTGGAACTCATTATTAATAGAATAGAGTATGACCGTAAAGGCATATTTGCTCCAAACGAACGATATTTTAGACATTTTTATAGGGTATAAGATTTGTATATTCTGTCTCTTTCTTATACTTAGAGCGCATGTATAAAGTCCCTTTATAAGCGATTGACATTAAAAGAAAACAAATTGAAATATGTTGTTTGTTTTTTTTATTCTGAAAAAGTTATTTCATAAAAATTAATGTGCTGAGCATGTATACATGTAAACAGTGATCGCCAGTCTTGACGTTACAGTAACGTCGTACGACAGCCCTAACCCTGTCGTAGAGCTGCAACATTTTTTACGGCATCGTAGGCTACGACAAACGTTAATAAAACGGTCTTAACGTTCTGCGACATGTCTGCGACAAAAAACTAGCCTACGACGTGTCGTAGAGCGTTGATAAAACGGCCCCCAGCTGCTGCCGGCAACAACAGTGTCATACAACAAATTGTCTTGTTTATTCACAAAGCAAACATAATTATTGTAGAATATTTAGATTTCTACACAAAACATGCTTGTACGCTTTGTAAACGTATTGTTCGTCTTTGAATTGTGCTCATTTGATACAAAAATAAATAGTGAATCCCATAGAGTTTTATCCGTATTTGTTCTCCTAAATTGCACCGAGAATAATCGAGGAAGCTGCCCTAACTACAGCTGATGTTATAAATCTTGTCTGTATGTCATAAGATACATTTTGTTATCAAGTCTTATTGAATTGCAGGATATTGTACGTCTTGTGTTTTTAAAGGACATGCTGGCTAATATAAAAATATGCTGGCTAACATATCGCATTAAGAAATTTCATTTGAATGTGCTTACTTTTCAAGTCATAGCTTGATAAAAATGTGATGTATATATACATACTGATAACTGATCGCTTTGTCAAACTATTTTATCAATGCCGGTAGCTCAGTGCACATGTGTTTGTGACTATCTTTAATACATTGTCCGAGAACATTATCTTTTTTGCCCTATCTTTTAGGGTATGTGTTCCCGTTTTCTCAAAATCTATCGTTTTAACCCAAAAATAGACAATAAAATATAGAATAAAATAAATAAATAAATTAATAAATAAAAAAATAAATTAATTAAATAATTAATTGATTAAAATATATTTTTATTTTATACATGTATGTCTCTAGGAGGACAAAAGTAAACACATGGAATCACATTTATTTTCAGGATAATTTTCATATATCGCTTGCCGTCAAATAACCGTAACTTACCGTAATACACATGTATTTATATGTAACAACAACATAAGTCAACAAAAACACTGAAATTGGCCAGTACTTTAGACGCTCTCTGTCACTGATCTCAATTGTCGTCAATAGCCAAGCTTGATCAAACTCAAAATGATCGTTTGTTGTCTTTTTGCAGTGCTTGTAGGAAAAAGTATCAACAATAACACAACATAAAAACATCAAACACAACACGCTTACAACTGATGCAGCTTGTTAATCAACAATTTGGCAAGACATAAAATACCTTACAATTAATGACATACTGACCTTAATATTACATGATAGTTATCAAGTATATTTACCCATTGACCCACTGACCTCTTTTCGTACGTACATATTTACAGCTTTCCGTCCAGTAGTGAAATGCTGTACTTGAACTTTTGGACAAGAATAATAATATCTGTCATATGTTGCGGTTCGGACTGAAATATCCGTCCCTACCGTAAATAACAACGGCGAAATGACGTCATCCTAAGCACATATTTCCCTTCTAAAACGACGTCATTTCAACGCAGTTCATTCATAAAGTGAACTAAAATGACGTTGTTATTTGGCATGCGACTCATCTGGCATCCCCATGTTAGATAAAATTTCTGTCATGGGTAAAACGCAGAAAAACGCCAGTTGCAAGAAATGAAGATCAAACGATTTTAATCATACTTACCTTGAAATATTAATGCGATATGTTTAGAGCAAATAATTATATTTGATGCACTTTGAGTCGTGAGAGATTCATGATAAAATACAGTTTAACTGTAACATTAATAGACATGTATAATTTAAGACAAACTTATGACACGATGAAAACAGATTTATTGCCATCTAGAGCAATTTATTGTACACTGTACTACAATGAGCACCAAACGTTTTAGCTGAAAAAAAAACAACAACAAACAACTTAAATGTGATGCTACCCTACGTACCTATTTCATCACAGTTTGCTCATATATTGTCGGTCAATCTACCTTACAATCTTCAGTAATATTCGTTGCATTACAGGTATGTCTTTCAAGGGCACAGTAATCCATATTCAATCTTATTTAGGAGGTAAATAAAGAATCCCTAAAAAAAGTACAAAACGACAAAATTTAAAACGTTGCAGTCTCGGTTTGATTGAACCTGCTCAAGGGCGGTAATGGAAAGTACAAGTTTCCGTCCACACTTTCTTGCACCGGTTTAAGCCGTATTCAACTTTAACATGAACTGGTAAAATTTGGAACTTTGAAAAATCCGCAGATGTGTTAATACGGGGGTTATCATGGAATCACGTTAGAGCCGTTCCATGAAAAGCGGCAGATGGTTCCCATGTAAAAACATTCGTTTGCCCTTTACGAGAAAACAATGGGCGGAACTAAATAAAATATAATCTTTAAAAGGGTTCAGAGGTTATGAAGCCTGTATATCACAGATAAGACGTCAAAAGACAATGTTAAAATGCGGACAACATATCCTAAGGATAAGTAAAATGTATGTAGCAAAAATTTAAAATAGTATTTTTTGCTTATAATAATATTGTGAATATTTTAAAAGGTCATAGTTAAAACAGCTTAGTATATTAACAATAAAAAGAGATTTCTTATAATAATACCACTAAAGGGCGCCAATTATTACACAATTGTAAATGTTGCTTCTCCGTTTCGAGAGCATATTATGGAGACTGAAAAATGTAAGCCACTAACACAATTAAAACATATTCCAACTTATTAGAAAATAGATATGATATTAGAAAAGAATTAAACAATAAAACAACCACAGAATTACACACTTTTATTTTCATAACTAGTGTCACTTTCCATAATAGCGCCGGGTATTGAAAACATTTTTTAGGTCTTCTAATTGAATTATTTCATAAAGTATGCTGCCTTGCTAAATAATTTTGAAAACGAAAATGTTTCAAATCAGCATCGTTCAATTTTCTTTATATCTGGCTTCTAGTATTTTATAAGTCTGTGGATGATTTTGTTTTAAATGTGTATTCTTCTGATGATTTCGGCTTGTATGACCTAATTATAAGCCACATCCAAGTTTACAGGCAGCTTCTGTTGTGAAAACGTTTTTGCCCGCTGCGTAACAACCAGTTCTTTGCTTGCATGCTCCTTGTTGATTTCTGTATGTCCAGATTGTTTTCTTCAGACTGTCATGACACGGACTAAACTGTGATACATCTTGACATTCTATAATATAAACATCAAAAATAGCAATGCTATTGGATATAAAATGCTTCAAAATCTTTTGTTTTTACTTCTTCTTCAGTACTTCACAATTTGAAAGCTAAGTAAAAATATATACATGTATGTGTCTATTATAGATTAGAAAAATAAACATGTCTTATAGAAATTCAAAAGATCTGTGGTCCTAATAGAGATTTTAACCAATATCTGTCTAAAATAAATTCACAAACCTTATGTTTCTAGTGTAGATTTGAATATCTTTGGTTTGAAATGTAGATTCCTAACCCTATGTATCTAATACATATAATCAAAAAAACTAGTTGTGTCTTGTAGATTAAATATCCTTATTCTCCTAACGTAGGTTTAACCCATTACTTCATATACACGCCTTTTAACGCCTTTTTCACCCCCCCCCCCTTTTTTGTTGTCTCAAATGATAAAAATTTGCCTTATTTAGGCCCAAACACTTGTTTTTGTTTGAGAAATGTTGTTAAAAAAAGTGACCTCTTTTTCGGCGCGGCCCCCCAACCAAAAGATACATCAGAGGGTTGCCAGAAGGGGGATGTGCCCCCTTCTGTTTGGGGGGTTTGAAGGGGGGCGGAGTCCCCCTTATCGCCAAGAAAAATTTTGGACTTGTGAGAGGCTGTAAATGACCCCAGATTGATCATAAGGTAACGTGTAACCAACGCTGAAAAGCATTTGACTCTATCTGAATCCATTGAGAAAGTGCAGCACTTTGAAATCAATTTTGATGGAAAAAATCAACGCAAAATAGTGATTTTTGGCAATTTTGAGATGTCCCCTCGTTGCCATAGTAACAGAAAATTTAAGCCTGATCATGTTGTTGCAAGTGCAATGGTCCAGTCAACATTTGTGCCAAGTTTGATTAGTGTTGAAGCAGTTTTTATAGTAGTATAGCAATTTGAACTTGTAACGGGAGACTTTTCAATGAAAACAGCCATTTTTCACAAAATGCTCATGAAGTAATGGGTTAATGAAAAAAATAAAAAAATCTACAAAACAACAATTTTTCTTCAAATTTATATGACAGGCCATGTTTAAACATGAAAAAACGCGATTTAGGGTAATTTCAAGTATTTTCATCATTTTCAGTTAACCCATTACTTCATATACACGCCTTTTAACGCCTTTTTCACCCCCCCTTTTTTGTTGTCTCAAATGATGAAAAAATGCCTTATTTAGGCCCAAACACTTGTTTTTGTTTGAGAAATGTTGTGAAAAAAGTGACCTCTTTTTCGGCGCGGCCCCACAACAAAAAGATACATCAGGGGGTTGCCAGAAGGGGGATGTGCCCCCTTCTGTTTGGGGGGTTTGAAGGGGGGCGGAGTCCCCCTTATCGCCAAGAAAAATTTTGGACTTGTGAGAGGCTGTAAATGACCCCAGATTGATCATAAGGTAACGTGTAACCATCGCTGAAAAGCATTTGACTCTATCTGAATCCATTGAGAAAGTGCAGCACTTTGAAATCAATTTTGATGGAAAAAATCAACGCAAAATAGTGATTTTTGGCAATTTTGAGATGTCCCCTCGTTGCCATGGTAACAGAAAATTTAAGCCTGAGCATGTTGTTGCAAGTGCAATGGTCCAGTCAACATTTGTGCCAAGTTTGATTAGTGTTGAAGCAGTTTTTTATAGTATTATAGCAATTTGAACTTGTAACGGGAGACTTTTCAATGAAAACAGCCATTTTTCACGAAAATGCTCATGAAGTAATGGGTTAATGAAAAAAATAAAAAAATCTACAAAACAACAATTTTTCTTCAAATTTATATGACAGGCCATGTTTAAACATGAAAAAACGCGATTTAGGGTAATTTCAAGTATTTTCATCATTTTCAGTTAACCCATTACTTCATATACACGCCTTTTAACGCCTTTTTCACCCCCCCCCCCTTTTTTGTTGTCTCAAATGGTGAAAAAATGCCTTATTTAGGCCCCAAACACTTGTTTTTGTTTGAGAAATGTTGTTTAAAAAAGTGACCACTTTTTCGGCGCGGCCCCCCAACCAAAAGATACACAGGGGGTTCATTGTGCCAAGTTTGATTAGTGTTGAAGCAGTTTTTATAGTATTATAGCAATTTGAACTTGTAACGGGAGACTTTTCAATGAAAACAGCCATTTTTCACAAAATGCTCATGAAGTAATGGGTTAAAAACTTTTATGTTCCTCATATGAAATAAAAACTTTATGTTCCTAATATGGATACAAATTTAATATCGAAATTAATGTTGATGTTGCATAAACAACCACTTGATATGCATTATTGATGCATTCTAACAATATACTTGTATATCAGATATATTTAAAATGTTAACTTACGCATGACGTTTCCACTTACGACAGTCAGACACACCAAAGCAATAACGAGAAGACTTCCAATTTTCAGCATGTTGATTGTATGATTTCTAAAAATAGAAAAAAATGTTAAGGATCAAAAGAGACATTTAATTGCTAAAATGTTAACATCGATACCGTATGAATCTGTGAATTGCCAAAACAAATTTATATTGCCAGTAAATACATTAAGACGTTAGCCAAATCGATTATTAGTTGAAAATATCCTCTTAGTTGCATCTTAAACACTCATGGATAATAATACATTTAATATATAATTATTTGATCTAGAAATCATATCTTGGTCAAATTGTTTTACATGTTTCTTTTTGAATGCGTAATTAAATTTGTAAATAATCCTAACCTTTGACGCCTGTATTTATTTCAAATATCAACCATGAAATCACTTTGATTTTATTTCTGTGAGATCAGATAACGCGCAAGGCGATTCTATTAATAATGCGCATATGAATATCCAAAAGACAGTCAAACAAATAAAATGTGATAATATGCTGTCTCTCACTTGAACAGTTTAGATAACAATGTTAATATTATTTCGTTATTTACTCATTTGCAACTAAAAAGAATATCAGGAATCCAAACAAGTATAAACAGACAAATGCAACCTTTACTGATGAGTTATTCGGCAAACCTTTTATATTTCCGACTCTCAATATAGAATATCAACAATTGCATGTACAAATTTCAAACAGACAGCAATTAAACATGTTTCAAGGATCTGACTTTTAAATGAGAATGCATATTCAATACTACCTGAGAATGTATGAAAAATATTGATGAATATTTATTACTTCATGAGAATGAATATTCAATATAACCTGCAAATGAATATTCAATACTATTGATCAATGTTTAGGTAATAATAATTTAATAACAACAATAAAGATTGGAAAAAATATATTTCAAAATGCAACTCATAATTTTTTTTTTCATAAGTGAATGAAAGCAGCAACAGTAAAAGTTGAAAATAAAATATTTGTAAATATTAGCAACAACTTACCCTTACAACTTTACGAAGGTAGACACGGTTAACAAATTTGAAACTTCGTTACTTATATAGTGATGCCAAGTAGCCTTAGGAATACGGGTCACAGATGTTCGTTATATCGTGCCATTCTCTTTTATAAAGCTCTTTTCCAGTCTATTGTCATTAAAAGTAATAGACGATGATTCATGAGTGACAAATTATATGGCTGATCGTGTCCTTTTTTGCGGCATAAGTTTAGTGTTGAAGTCAAAAAGAGTGCACGAATTTACAGATAAAACCCATTTATGACATTAGTTAAAACATCTGTTAATTTTATAATTATTGGAATGTAAAAAAAGACAATAACAATTAAATAACACTTAATATAAACTTCTTTTTGTAATTAATATAAAACATACTTAAACTTATATTTCTATAAGTTCAATTCTGTCAAAATTGTCACCTTTTAAATGTTTTCCTATTTGTTTGGATATGTATGCATGATATAGTGTTCGCCACGTGCCTGAACGAAGTGGAAATTAACTTTTTCTTAATATTAATAATAAATTTCATGTAAAATATAATATCAACAACGTTTACCATTTTTATTTTGTTTAGAACAATTCTACCCAACTTGTGATTGTAATAAAAAACAACTAAAATACCAATCTTATGGTGTATAATGATAAATCAAAATATATAACCCTAAAGCGAAAGGGACATATATTAGTTCCAGGCAGGACAATGACTGACAACATAGATGTAATTAATAAGCAAGCATCAAAGCAATTATATTTGCCTTATGGGTCGACCTTGTACTTCATCAATCTATAGACTTTGTGTGTATATAGAGTTCAAGGTTATGTGAATTATTACAGTAAAATAAGAATTGATGATGACTGATAATGATTTAGCGCCTTTTATAGGGTTTCGTTCTGTTGAATAAACGTTTACATGTACAGCGGCGATGCCTTCCTTTTAATTGTACACGATCCTACACGTTTGTTAATTAGTTTAACTAATAAACATAATATACCAAAGCAAAAATTTCATTTAGTAATATTTATTATGGTTTAAAAATTATTCTTAAATATTTTTTTGGTAACATGTTTGATGTTTTTATGACAGTCGGTCATTTTATCATTTTAATTTAACGAAATCACCGCTCGTACTTTATTGCTTATGCCTAAAAAATGAATACATTTCGTCTGTTACGAGGAGGCATACATTTGTACTTTACTGATTAACACCTTAAGATGGTATCGCGGAATGCGAAATATTTTGTAACATAAGTAGCAAAATGTAAATAGAGTTTTTTTTGTCTCCAATACAAAACACTAAATCACAACAATTGAAATGTAGAAACTAAAGTAACTTGTATAAGTAATTCTAGGAAAGAAACCGTTTTTAATAATAAATATGTAGACAAAATATGAAAACAACAAGAGTTCTAAATTCTGATAAACCTGTACATTTAGAAATATAAAACATTCCCCTTTTTGACATGAACGTAGCAAACAAAACTATTTCAGAAAATGAAGTACAAAAGCATGGTCTTTACATAAGCACATTACTTTTTCCAAATATATTTCAATTTTTTTCAGTGTATTAATGATTAAAATGCGTTCTTACATTTATTACGAAAGTAGAACCCACAAAAATTAAAACAAAATGCCTACAAAGTAATTTACTTCTGCTTGCTGCAGTTTTTGGATTTACTCACTACAGTGGTGGAGCAGTAGATGCTTGCAGAAATCATTATCACAAAGTAAAGAAAATAAAGTTTTTTCGTCGATTCTTGCTTTTTTCATTCCTTATTGTATAGCGTATTAGCAAGTTTGAACTTAAGTACATTGTTCTGAGATATCGTTTGTTTTCTTTTCTTTGTTTCCTTTATAGTAGGTAACGTATCTTTTTGATAAACAAAGTAATAACATCTAATTGTAAGATTGAACCGTTTAAGCGACGTGTGCATCAAACAAATTTATATATGTATTAGTCCGTATATATGGGAAACAGTTTGGAATTTTGTTTAGTGCCTTATGCTGAGCGTTTTATTCCATACAAATAGCAGCAAAATTGAAAAATTGGTCTCAATAGTGATCTTCTCGAAGAAATTCATATTTTTATGAAATACTTTGATTACATTTCGTCTCCTGTAAAGGGATTCTGTTCTATCTTTGTCGTGTAGATAGTGGTTGAAGCAATTTCCGGTGCTAGGTGATTTATTACATTTTTAATTCGTTTTCTTGCTTCGAAAATTGCAACATACATTTATCAAATAACCACTTAATGATTTATACTATATTATAGTATCGCTCAAACGTTTTTTCTACATGATCAAATGATACGGAAAATCGCTCGATCTTACTCCCGCAATATACAAAACAATGTGTGGCATTCAAAGTTAAGGTCCTATATTGATATTATGTATTTGTTTGAATTCTTTGAAAATTGGTTTTTGTCTTATTGCATATATAACATAACGGTCTGTTAAATACTGATAACAAAAAGTAGTTACTTTTGTGTATCTTTTTCCTTAATGAAAGTGTTAAAAATATGCATCCGTGCTCTCATAATTTTCACTTAACCTTTATTTTTTGTTGTACTTCAAGAACAAGAGACACACTTATTTCCTTAAAACACTTTATATTTGTTATAAATACAGGTAAAAAAGGAATACCTAAAGAACTGTAAAAATAATAAAAAAAACCCTTAACATTCTTATAACTTATTTTCTTTAAATAAAACCTAGTCGCTGACAAAAAAACAACAGGAAACTCAAACCAAAAACGGCAAAAATTGAAAAAATATGAAGGCTCGGTTTATATGAGCTTGTTCATGGACATTAGTGAAAAATGCTAGCTACAGTTCAGATCCCTACCAACAACTTCAAGTACGTGATAAAAGTAAATTTGAATTAAAATTTCATTTACAGCTGCTGATATGTATATTCGCGGATGAGCACGGAACCTCTTACTCCAAGATATGATCGAATTTAGGACACCTGATGATGCGTTTTTAAACTTTCTTGTCAGGATTTGAACATTTTCACACATAAGAAATTTCTTAATTGTAGAGAAAATAACTCCTGATCTTTTCAGTAATTGCTCTATATGTATGTTTAAGTATTAAATTTGTTTTTGGACGAAAATGAACATTGCAAATTAAAGTTACATTTATTTCATTCAAATGATTTAGTTTGCACAATTTGATAGTTTATTTATACGTTAGTGTTCATTAATAACCTATTTTTCTTTTCTTTCATAATTATATTGAAAATATCAACAATTTTCTCTTTGATTCACACCTGTCTATTCAGAAAGTAGACATATGAAATAAATCTCATTTATTCTCAGTTCTGTCGCGACATTTTCAATCAAGATATAATTGGTTTTAATAATGAATGATACACATATTGGACGGAAATTTATTTTCTGAGTTTAAAATTTGAAGGACAATTTTAAAGTTTTAGAGAGTTACCTGTCATGATTTTCTTTCTTTATTCTTTCTTTTTGTCGAACATACTCATAAATTGAAGATAACTTTTAATTATTGTAGCAAGGAACATATTGTGAAGTGGTTGCGCACTTGGTTCAAAAGTTTCAAGCGAGTAATATGGTTGCAAACTGACGTGCTTTTCTGAATAAAGAGGATCGGAAAAAGAATCGCCCGCTTTACCAATTGAAATATCGAGAACGAACTGTTAGATTCTAATTATCAATGGGTTTCTTTATTGCTTAATAAAATATGTTTGATATATTTTGTCGTAGTCAAATTTCAATTTTTACTTTGATTATTTTGATTTGACAATGGTATGAAACGATATATCTAAAAATAACATTTTTGACCTTTAGAAAAGCTTAATAATATATTTCAGAGTTTATTATCCAGTAAAATGAGATTCATTTTATTTTCTTTTGATTGACGTGGAAATAATTAATTTCTCTCTTTTTCCAATTTTCATATTCACAATATTAATCATGCAATCTATATTATTCATGATACTTTTATCTTTGTCACGTCATTTTCAACTGGTTTTGCTGATATATTGATCGGCAAGTTCAAATATTATTCTTTTTTCGCAATTTGGCTGTTAATTTTTGAACATTCAGTCAAAATTGTATCTGTTTCCTCTAAAAGTAAACCTATTATCAAATGTAAAAATATAGTCAATTTTTGTTTATTTAATCTGAAACATTAATTGAATTTGTGTAGCTCTATTAACATCTATGATCCTGTATAGATATATAATAATTATACTCGAATAGTGGAGCTACTCTCAAACGTAAAAACAAAACTTACTTTAAATTTGTATAACAAAATATGTCGAGGAAATTGATATATTTGTTATAGATTGGTTTTATTCTTTTTTCATAATAGTTTGTTGATACAATTACATTGTTCTGTATGAGCTACCGTTTATATCTTAAGACAACAGTCAAGTCACCTTATTTTAAAAAATGAATCGGTGTAGAAATGAAACATATTGCAGATCAAATTACAACGTTGTTTTATTCTACCTTTATACTCCTGACAATTGAATCAAGAATAAAAATAAATACATTCAGACATAAAACGTGCGGGTTATAGTAGAATATCAAAAGTTCTTCAATGTAGTAAATTCTATGTAGGGTAATCAACATAACCCTATTCAGATATGGACTAGAAAGGAGACATTAGCTTATTTACAGACATTTACTAAACTACATGAATTTTGGTCACAAATAAGATTGGCCTTAATACATTTATGTCCTTAAACATAATAATCTCATATTTGATCTAGCGCAGTTGGTTTGACCACTGAGTGTAAATGTATATTAATTTAGTCACGAATTTAACGGTCATTACGCAATACAAAATAACTCACATTTACGAGTATATGCCATACAAATGTGTTGATCATTGATTCTAATACATTAAGTGTGAATGATTGAATGTCGTTTGAGACGGTGCTATGGAGCGTTAAACATGTACTCTTATGAACATACTTAATCATATCGTGTCTGCGATTATTATCAGTACATTATTTAGTTTTTATTTGCAATTCTGTA